AGCCCGCAACAACATTTGATACACTTTATATCGTGTCAACGTTATTTTCTCTTATTGTTAAGTCTAAAAAGTCTTTTTTATCTTGAAAAAATGTGCACAGTTCCACTGTCAATCAAACATATATCTTGACAATTCATCATAAATCCATAAATATAGTTTCAAATTTTGTCAAATTTCTAAAACAAATGGAAATATTAAAAATGTAAAAAGTAAACTAATCTATATATTCCATCAAACCAACATCAATCAAATGGTTAATATTGTCATTTGGATCAATAACGAAATTGGAGACATCCAAATGATTCACATCAATTGAACCATCATAATTAGAAAAATTTATCTCCACTTTTTCTTTTTTCTTAATTGATTTTTAGTAGAGATCCACAAGATATTTTGTCATACGACAATATGCGCACAAAGCTTTTTCATTTTATATTTAAAGAAACTTTCTTCGTACTCTTTTTTGGATACACTTACGCTTTCTGAAATTGTTGTCACATTGCTAATAGCTTTATTGATTATTTCATCCATGATTTATTCCATATCCAAATTAGTGTCCACATCCATGTACGCGTCCAAGTCTACGTCATTGCCTTGATATTGCCTTTACTTCAGACAATGGTAACCAGTTGAATGTAGCCCATGATTTTTGTGAAAAATAGATATAGTTTACTTTTGTGAAAAATAAAGACATATTTCAAAATAAATTTCTAAAACAAATGGAAATATTAAAAATGTAGAAAGTAAACTAATTTATATATTCCATCACACCATCCTCAATCAAATGGTCAATATTGTCATTTGGATCAATAAAGAAATCGGAGACATTCAAATTATTCATATCAATTGAACATCATAATTAGAAAATTTTGTCTCCACTTTTTCTTGATTGATTTTTAGTAGAGATCAACAGGATGTTTTGTCATACGACAATACACGCCCAAAGCTTTTTCAATTTATATTTAAAGCAACTTTCTTCGTACACTTTTTTGAATACACTATTTTTGTTTGTTTTATGTTTTTTGAAATTGTTGTCATTTGCTAATAGCTTTATTGATTATTTCATTCATGATTTATTCAACATTCAAATTAGTGTCCACGTCCATGTACGCGTCTAAGTCTACGTCATTGTCTTGATATTGCATTTGCTTCAGACAATGGTTACCAGTTGAATGTAGCTCATGATTTTTTATTAACAGTTCATTATTTTGTTCAACTACAAGAAGACAAGATATGGGTTTTGAGTACTTTTTGAAACCAGACTTATAATACTACTGTTGTAGGAGCACATTCGAGGAATGAAAAGTGAAAAAAAATTTCTTCAATATATTTTCATCTATAATTTTTTCTTCACACAAGGTCCATTTTGAATATATTCTAAACATTTCAAAATTATACTCTCTAGCAGTTTTAAAGTC